TCCAGAGTGCATAAACTTTATGTGTAAAGCAGGACTTGAAAACAGGAATGAGACTTATGTAAGGGTTGTCCCAAGCATGAGGATTAGACTGAGAACAAGAAGTGTTTGTGTGAAAGTTTGTGGAAGGACAATTATGTAAGAGCTGAGCGTGAAACAAAGGTTCAAGAGGGCATCTTGCTGTCCTTGCCAGGTGAAGTTTTGTTTGTGATGGCCTTCTGTTGGGTTTTTGTGTGTGTGTGCAGGGGAGAGCTGCTTTCACTCAGAGATATTGAACATCTGCACAAGAAGCCTAAATCAGACAAGGAGACCAGGCTGGCAACTGCAAAGGTGAGGATCTAACAGGAGATTTCATGTCCTTTGTCTCTCTAGATCTAGGTTTGTGTTTGTCTCCTGTAGAAGGAGGAGGTGGTGGAGAGCATCTGTAAGAGAGGTGTCCACCTGCCGTCTGTGTTCTGAGAAATGTATAGTTTTTTTTCTGTTGTATCTTGGCTGTAACAAATAAACAGTCTCTTGCTGGTTAGAAGTGACAATGAAAATAGACACACCCAAATTTCACTGTGACTTAAATACAGTCAGCATGGAAAAATGCACGACGAAGTCATACTCAACCTCCATTTACTGTTACTGCCATAGAACCTCTCGCCTTGGTAGATGATGTTAACTGTATGGAATGAAAAATTATGTTAAATTATGTTGTCTATTTTAGGCTGGAAAAACAGACAGAAAAGAATTTGTGAAAAAGAAAACAAGAATTAACCCATTTGCCAGCTCTTCCAACAAAGAAAAGCAAAAACACAAGAACTTCATGATGATGAGATATAGCCATAGTGTCCGGACAAAAACCAAGCGGTCTTTCAGGGAAAAACAGGTAATGTTTAATGTTGAAAATAGATGGGCCATTCTGAGAGTAAACTTAAAATGCAGGCAAAGTGCTGTCTATCCTGTGCCCTCAGTCATTGCTGCTGATTTTGATGGTTTAATTGCTGGAAAGGCCTTTGGGTGAGATGGCTTCTTGTGAACCCTGTCATGAGGAGGTAATTCAGAGATGGTCGTAGTGAAGAATCCTTTTGTCAGTCTCTGCTTCAATATGCATTGAGAACTAAGCCCGGTTGCCAAGTCAGGTGTAGGTTAGGAAGGATGTGATATGGTTTGTTTTCCCTTATGTAAATTGAAGATCATATTAGAACCCTGAATATAATACTGTGATAGAAGTAGCTTCCCTGATATGGAGGAGTGTTTTTTGGGACAAGCTTTTAGTATGTTTCTTCACTCTATTATTTCTTTGACCTTTCTCCTGTTACTGCCATATTTTGGACTCATCTGACCTGGCCTGGCTTGGCTTTCAGGTCCTCTAATAGCTTGTCATAAATGTACTTAAAGCACAGACATAAATGTTACTTGCTATCTATCTGAAGCTGTTTAGGAAAACCAAAAAGGCTTCAGTTTAGCTTGCCATAGTATTTTCACCATGTGCCACTCTCATTAGCGAAGCCCTGCTCTCTGCTGCTTCCTTAGCTCTAAGCTTGGCTGTGGCCCTTGGGAAAGGCTATACAAATGTCTATTTGACGGTCCAGTTATGGTGTGTTTCTGTAGGCAGCCATACCAGGGGTGGCTAGAGGGGTATTGGAAAGGCAAGGCAGAAACTTGAGGGGATGACTTATCTAACCCCAGGCACATGGGACAGCACAGCTTCCAAGAGAGACATGTGGACAGGGAGCCCCCTTCTCTTGTGGTGCCCCTCAACTGGGCATCAGGCCTGAACTGTGTGTGGCAGCTGTTGCTGGAGCACTGGTGTAGGCATATTGCCTTGCCCTGCTGTGTTTCACCTTGGTAGAGTAAGTCAGTGCTAACAACAACAATATGCCTTAAAATCCTTTTATCTAACCTGGCAGATGGCCAGTCTAGGGCTTTATAGGGTGTTACGCATTTGGACTCTTTGAACATGTTCCAAGAAAAACTTCTAGAATAATGCAGTTGTGTGGTGATACTTTTTTGTATTGTTCTGTCTCGTGCTAGAGTGCATTCAGATGCTTCTTTTACAAAATCTCCTTTGTTTCCAGGATCATATCATTAGGGTAATGTATATTTGTCTGCAGTTCCTTGCCTTAAGAGTGGCAAGTGTGAAACAGGTTATAGACTCAATAGAGAAAGAACGTCTTGTGTGTTTCTGTTAAACAGGAAGACTTGGACTGATATCCCCTGTAGTCTTTTTATTTGCTATCATTCTGCCTTACCACAAATAAGGCTGACCATGTTCACCCAGCTCTCAAACACACAAAGTCACAAACCAACAATCCAGGCACTTAGAGGAAACTGCTGTTACAATGATTTTTTTTATGCTTGGCTCCCTTTTTCTAAAAAGCCATCTTGAATGGTTTCAGTACTCCCCCTAATGTTTCAAGTTTAAATGTAAAAGCCAAATGGTGAAAGAATAAATACTTCATTGTTTTCACAGAAAGTTAGGCCACAGCATCAGTTGTATGGGCCATGATATGGAAATAATTGTTTAAAGTGGATTAGAGTACTACAGTTATAGGACACTCTGCTTCCCACTTTGGTGGTAGAATAAAACAGACTGTTGTCTATAGATTGGATACAAGGAAGAAGTTCTTTATTCTGAGGGTGGTGAGGCACTGGAATGGGTTGCCCAGGGAGGTTGTGAATGCTCCATCCCTGGCGGTGTTGAAGGCCAGGTTGGACGAAGCCTTGGGTGATATGGTTTAGTGTGAGGTGTACCTGCCCGTGGCAGGGGGATTGGAACTAGATGATCTTAAGGTCCTTTCCAACCCGAACTATTCTATGATTCTGTGATTCCGTAGCATAGTGTTAGAACCCCTAAAAACATGTCTGAAATACACACCAAATCTCTCTCTAGTCATATGGCACTTGTAGAGGTTTCTAGCATCCCTCCTTCCCACCTTGAAAAGAAGCTTTGTAATACTCTTTCAAAAAATGCCATTTAATCCTACTTACTGCTCAACTGAAGTTTTTTTCTTGATCTCATCTAACTGAACATGAGTCAGTAGAAGGACAGTTTATGTTAATCTAGTCTTCCTCATTATCTAGGGTTTTCTAATGATGTACAAAACTTCTTTTTTTTAAGCCCCACTCTTTTTTGAATTGTGCTACTGACTTTAGCTAAATAACCACAGCATTTCTACCACCTTGGCTGTTAGCATTGGTCAGTTATGCTCCCAGTTTTAGCTGATAAGCTGCTAGTGGTTTTTTTGGGGTGGAAAAAATCAAAGAGGGCTGTTGATGTGAGTGTTGCTGTCTCCTTACCTGAATATTCCCCTCTTGTTTTCTATTTAGCTGGCTCTTCGAGATGCACTTCTGAAAAAGAGAAAACGGCTGCTGAAGTAACAGAACAGTAAGGGAGAGGAATATTTCATCACCCTTGAAGAAACAGCCCTAGAAATGTTTATTTCCACCCACCACTCCCCGCAAAGGGATGAAGGGACTCAAATGCCTTAATGATTTATCTCTGTCTGTTACGAATTAAACTGAACATGTTCAAGCTGTTTGAACTGCATCTCTAGGACAGATGGAAGAGGCTTTAATCCTTACAGGATTTATTTTTTATTTTTTTTATTTTAATGATTGTTATCGCTTGTCTTTTATTGAATATGATTTCCTTACACCTGGTTTTGTATGTGTAAGTATGAAAACGTAAAACCTCATGGTAAAATTATTTTAAGCAATTCATGAATAGGTAATTGGAAGAAAAAATAATATTCTGTCTCAGTCTATAATGTGTGTGTATATATAATGCGTGCACCTGTCTTGGGGACATGATTCTGTGGACTGAGTAAGCCATTATAGAAGTGGCTGGGTTTTGCCAGTATAATAAAAGCAATTTTTTCTAATACAGGTAAGTTCAAGTGAAGAGCTAGGGCAAAGAACAATCTCATTATGGCTTATGGAGAAAGCAGGAATAAAATTAGCATACAGGAGGCAGTTTTTCTGTAGCCATTGAAATAAAACTGTAGGATTACACACAGGAGAACTAAGGAATCTTCCGTTGTCAGTACATCTTGTGGTAGCAGTTGCTCTTGTCTGATTTTTTTTGAGGTATGCATGAAAATAACATTGAACCTTTGGGTTCTTTGTCAAAAGTAACTCCTGCTTTAGCCAAACTTTGAGGGGGTTACTGGTACCACCATCCTTTCTCAAATGCTGTTTGAAATGGTTTCCTTATGGAGCAGAACCATGTGCCATATGCACAGTATAATGGAAAGCATTCAATAGGGTGTTTATTCCCTTTCATGGGAAAGCAAGTCAGTGCTTACCCACATGGGAATTCACTCAGCTATATTTACGTTTAATACTCAATTGTATTTAATTCCTATTAGTTGTTTTATTTGTGGGTTGTTGTCACATCTTGCCTCCTCAAGCCGAAAAGCTTATAAGAGGTGTGGGGGAGATAAAGAACAAAGTTTCTACAGCTTTGAAGGTTACTTTTATTAAATGCTCCTTCTGAGGACAAGGCAGGGGCTGTGACTTGGTGCTAACAGCAAGTGGAGGATGTGTAGCTGAGGTCTGGAGCTGCAAATGCAGAGGAGCAATCCTATGGGGCTGAAGAGACCACTGAAACAGGAGAAGCACTCACATAAAATGCACTTTCACTAATTCCATTTTCTGTTGAAGAACCGAAGCCCCCTTCCCTGGATGTGCAGCTGTCCTACAACTAAAGATTTGGAGGCTGAAAGGGGGAGGCAATTACTTTTTATACTCCTTAGCGCAAGTGTCTAGTCTCCTCCCTTTTCCCTCTTGTTTACAGCACTCGGAGAGCCATGGGCTGTGGCTGTCTCCCCTCCGCTACTCCATTGGACTGCCTCTTCCAAACTATTAGCCAAACACAGCCCCGGGCGCTGCAGTACAGAAACTCGCCGCTCGTTTACTCCTCCGTTCTTTCACTCCCCCCCTTGTCCCGCACGTCCTTCCTCTGGCCGCGGCTGACCTGACACCACGAGCGCCTCCTCTGAGGCAAGGGGGGGCCGTCGCCATGTCCGGGCCCTTCCCCTCGGCCTGCCCCCTGCCGGCGGAGCTGCTCCGAGCGCCGCGGCCGGTCCGGCGCTATGTGGTGGGCGGCGGCGCGGGGGTCTTGGCTGTGGGGGCTGCTGGCGCTGCTGTGCGGGGCGGCGGCGGCCCCGGCCCCGGCTCTCCCCTTGGCTGCCCCGCTGCTGTGTAATGTGAGCCTGGACAGCCCCGCCGAGGAGCGGTGGCTGCCGGTGCTGCGGCACTTCGATCCCGCCTTCCTGCGCGCCGCCGTCGCACGGGTCATCGAGTGAGTGCGGGAATGGGCAGCCGGGGAGCGGGGCGTGAGGTGGCTGGGGCGGAGGGAGCAACCAGGGTTGCTTTTCTCCTCTCCCCACCGCCGCGGAGCCCTTGGGCCGCCAAGACCCGCTGCGTCGTGGCCTGAAGGAAGAGGGTGAAGGGATGCAGCGCAGCTGCTGAACTGCGCCGACCTAGGGAATTCAGGGGAGGTTTGGGCGTTAGCGTAGTACGTTTACATTATTCGTACACTTGGGAACCTGTCAGAGACACACGTCTTTTGCTTGGGTTGTGCAGGCTTCTTGGAGGATGTGCAGAAGCCAGTGGGATTTAGTGAGGGTAAGGGATGCAGGGATGTCTGATGCAGCGTGGGAGAGGCTGGGGATGAGCGGTCAGCACCGGCTGGGACCGGCTGCCAGAAAAGTGGCAGAATTCCCCGGTGTCAGGCTACTGAGTGTAAGTTGCAGACCTTTTTGTTTCTGTCTCTGCTCATGCCTTGAGTGTGTTTTGCAGTGAAAGCGTACCAAAATGGGTTCACGAAGTTATTCGACCCATAGCAGTGGAACTGGAGTTCCTTATGCCGCAGCCCTTTGCGGGGGAAATGATGGGACTGTGCAGAGCCTTGGGAATAAGTCTTGGAGATGGAGTCCTGCTTAACTTTGCCTACGAATCTACCGCGTAAGTGCTACTTAGAGGATCTGGTAGGAATGGATGCTGAGAGTCATTTTAGGTCGATCTGGGAGAATGCATTAAAAGGCAGGTGTAGACATGTGGCAGATTATTTGTGCTGTTAATTCTCATACTCTTTCCTGTGTCCAGCGGGAAGGTTTAATTCTTATTAGGCAGTTTGTATCCTGAATTGAAAGAGAAATACAAACAGTGTTTTTATCTGTTGATAAAGGTAATATATAGCTGTATAAATAAATACAGGTATGAGAATAATTTTTGCTAATCAGGAAGGACCACCAGTTCAAAGTATTTGTGTTAGTTTGTCTTTGATCATGTAGTACAGTCTTTTGTAGTTTAAATTGTCCAATTTCACTAAAAAGGAACCTAGAAAAATTAGCTGCAATCTAGTTATTTTAACCTTTTGTCTGAGATCAGGTTGCTTCCCAGCCTGTTTCTGGATGAATGTTCTCAATGACTGCATAATGTAATCTTTTGATTTGCACAATGGAAAATGGATGTAGTATCTTTATGATAGAAAACGAAACATCAGTGAAAAGAATACTCGGTTTTGTTGTCTTTTTTCCACCTACAAGCACATGCAGGAGAGTAATAAAAACTTGGTGTTGCCTGTGAAGAGCCTAAGAATATTTCTGTATATAGAATCAATATAGGTTGTTCTAAAAACAAGGCACACACAGCTGCTTGTATTTATTTTTATTATGATTTTTCTTCTGGTATTTGGTTAAAGCAGTCTTTCTTTTAATAGGCATTAATATCACATGAGGCAGTCATTTAAATGTTGGCTCTCTTAGTACTTCACAAAGGATGGGTATCATTCTTAACCCTGGTAAAGCCCATGAGATTTTAAGTTTCTCAACCTTAACGTTACTAAAGAAAAACATCAGCTGGAAGCAAAGTACTTGTTTGGTGAATTTTTTACCTTTACAGTTCTGAAAGGCAGTGCTGGGTATCACTGGAAAGACATCAGAATTTTTGAATTCTCTGCTCATTCAGAATTTCAGCCCACTTCCTGCTCTAGAGAGGAGGTTAGGTTATTACTGAGATGGCTGACACTTTAACAACAACTGAAAGAACTTTGTTAGAACTTTTTATCTAGTTGTGATTAAAAATGTGAATGGAGTCTGAACTGAGATGAAATAGTGTGCAGTTGTCAGAATGAAATCCAGAATGTTGTAGACTGATGTTTTGTGGACATTTTTAGATGTTGGCTTTTCTTCTCAATTTAGAAGTGAAATAATGGAACTGGAAATAATGAAATAATGAAGTAAAATGAAATAATGAATGTTTTCCAACTAGAATTGCTGCTTCCTACCTGGTCTGTAATATGTGACCTGATAAATAATGTACAGTTTTGTGTGTTAGACTGTGTGGAACAGGACTTTCCCTTATGAATATCGTGCATAAACCATATGGAGTGTTACGCAGTTATGCAGAGCTTCAGTCAAACCATTCTGACTCCCCTTTTGTTTTTTTCCAATTTTAAATTAAAGCCTGTCAGAAACCTTATCTGAAAGTACCGGATGAGACTGTTCTCTCAGGTTGGGAAACATAGGTGTTAATGCAAACTCCTAGTTGTATGCTTACATTAGTAAAATACTTTGCAGAAGATAAACTCAGTTATTCCTTCTGAAATGTTAGCTAGTTTAACTGTAATATTGCAAGTGTTGTCATAGCCTTTTCTGAAATCATTCTTTCTTCTTTTTGTTTGGGAAGGTTCTGTACTAGTATTGTCGCTCAGGATGACAAAGGAAACATTTATCACGGTCGGAACCTGGATTATGATTTTGTTGATATATTAAGCAAGATAACAATTGATGTGCAGTTTATAAAAAGCGGGCAGGTATGATCTGTGGTTGATGTGGCTGGGTGATATTCCACGAAGGAATGTGGTATGGTCATATGGCTGCATAGGCAGCTGGGATTTAATGTAGGAATGTGGTTCATTTCCCAGGTTTAATGGATTATTAGAGTGCTGCAGTCACTCTCTCCAGGACTCTGGGATGATTCCTGGGTTTCTTTGCTTTCTGGACATTCAGCTTGTGGTGATAAACTGGAACAAATAGAAGAACATGATCTAGTATCTCAAGATCATTGTTTGGAAGAAGATGTTGAAGGAAGGAAGTGTCAAGATAATAAAAAAGAAATACTAGAGAATAGAGAAAATAGATCAGCCTGGGCAGGGACTGATTCTAAGGCTTTTGTTTTCCCTAAGGCCTTGTTAATTTTTTATGACCGAAGTGTGTTTCTTAGAAAGAAGTAGAGTTTTCTGCTAGAGAATGTTGCTTGTATTTGAAGTAGTATTCTGTTCCAGCATGCGGACATCCTGCATCTTTCCTGGTTTCAGATAGCGTATCAAGGCACCACATTTCTTGGTTACGTCGGGTTATGGACTGGACAAAGTCCACACAAGTTCACAATCTCCGGTGATGAACGAGGTGAATAAATCTGTCTTCGGCACTTGGTGTAACGTACACTGTTTTATTGATCATTGCCTCCTTTGGCCCTTTCTTTCATATTCTCCTAGAGGGAAAAATACGATTAAGGAGCTGAAATTGAATGTCTTATCTTGCCCTCGGGGAGTGAAAGCACGCATGCTGCCAGGTTTTGGCTGTTGCAAAGGAGAGAGGAGTTTGTTTGCCATCATAGTGTTATCTGAGCTTTAGAAGTGTCGCAGGAGGCAGAGGACCTTGGAGAAAGCTGGAAAAGGCAAATTAATGTGGTTTGTTCAAGAGAAGCAACTGGAGATGGCAGAGACTGGGAGAAAAAGTTCCAGTTGTGTAGAGCAAATAAATGCTTTCCTAGTTTCTATCCTTTGCTCTTTATTCCACATTTCTCTGTCCACGTAAGGCAGCTTGAAGGAGGATGGGAGGGTAACGCTGAGATCTAGGGTAGGGGCAGCAGGGTTTGAGAGAATGCAAGGAGGTGCTGGGAAGGCAGCTGAGGACAGATCCAGTAGTGGAGGAAAGTTGAAAGGTGTCAGTACTGGGAACTAAGACCTGTCAGTAGAAGGTCTTGTAACAGTCAGGAAGGCAGAGGAACTTCATTCGGGATAATGTTGTCTATTTATATTTGAGCTGTAGTTTCACCTGGATGTAATACACTTTGTTAGCCCTTCTGAAGTGTTGACATTTTATGCTGATAGGCAGCTGCCCTGTTTCACTGATTTAACTGTCTGTGGTAGTTCAGTATCCAAATCTAAACATACAGGAAGCTGAGCATTTGAAATACAGATTTTGTAAACCAGGGGCTTTCCAGGGTATGTTAGCCTGATTCTGCAGCACATTTTATGTGTAAATATCAGTAAAGGAATACAGTAGCAAAGGAGTACTATTACTATTCAGTGTTATAAACAGTGAGCTTGAGATGGTACAGAGGCTCTGACTGTTTTCAGATGGTGTGTGCTTTGTTAGTCAATATGAGCTGCCTAAATTTGATGGGTTTATGATAGTGGTGTAGTTAGAGAATGAAAGAATTTATTGCACTGCTCTTTTTTAAGGCAGTAAGGGAGAGATTGCAGAGCTAGAGACGGGAGAAGAAGGCAGGAGGATAAATTTCACAGAGCATACGTAACATGCATGTACAGTAATTTTGTTTTCCTTCTGTTTTTCTAGCGGGTGGTACATGGTGGGAAAATGCAATAGCGGCTTTTCTGAATCGGAATTACCCTGTCAGCTGGCTTGTCCGAGATGTAAGTGCCCCAGGTTATTTTCTCATATTTCACAGTGATGTCATTTGTACTTACAAACCCTTGATAAATCTGATGTCACAACTTTTAGTTTCACGGAAAATTCAATAAATTGATAAGTAGATGCATTTTGTAAGAGGAGATATGTATTGTCCCCAAATCGTTAGTGATGTGTATGGGGTAAAGCAATTCCAGGCCTTCAGGGGGGCAATCTGTAATCAGTGCCAAAAGTCTTTGAGAAGCTGTTCAAAGGCTTAATTCCTAGGGCCTATTTCAGCTAGCTGTGATTTTTGTAATTTAACAAACTGAAGCACCTGCACTCTGACATGGTTAGTATCTCACCCCTTGGTTATTTTACATTGTGGTCAATATGTTACTGTATTAAGAATGTAGACCTCACTGATGAGCAGAAGGAGTTACACTGGTATTCTGTACAGTCTGTTTTATCAACACTGCATTAGGGTCCTACTAAGATAAAATGGGTCTGCTGCTTCTCAGATGCTTGACTTATGGTAAACATGAATGATATGGTATGCAGGTAAATAATATCCACTGGAGAGTTTGTGGTTCCTATTTTTTGGGTTTGAGATGTGACTTCAGGCTGTGACACGGTCACTGCAGCATTGCTGTCAGAGATAATTGTTTTCCAGAGCTTTCCCTACCTGTCTGAACAATTTTGTTTGATGCATGATCTACATATTTGGTTTTACTTCCTGCACAGCATTCATTTTTAAAGATGTACTTCCACAGGTTGTGGCCCTGTGAGTGAAAACAGTAGCTTCACTGGCTGTGGTGACTGTCCATTCATATTAAGTTGGCCACCTGCCTGTGGCAGGGCTAGCTGTGAGCAATGCCTCTGTTTTATTCACCATTATTGCCTAAGTCCTCTTAAACCACTGGCTTTGGTGGTTTAAAACTCCATATTTCTCAAAATGGAGATATGCAGTGGGATTTTCCTCTCTTTCACCCCCATTCATCTGCCCCATTGATCACATTGAAAGGCTCTGATGAGGATAAAATTTGCAGAGTATGGACATGCCTCTGTCTTTTGAATGGCATGTCATTTGAATTTCATTTTGAATACTTCCATTTGAATTTCATGTGGTTTTTGCTTTTTAACCATATACATATGTGTACGTATGTGTGTGTATATGTGTCTGTGTATTTACTGTTTGAATATTTGCAAAGCTGGGATTAGTGACTTCATTCACAAATCACATGCATTTCATATTCATGCGCCAGTCAGTTTGGAAAACTGTTTTCAGAGAAATATTTTCAAGTAGCACTTCAGCCAATTTCAAAAAAGCTGGACGCGTTTTCCTTTTTAAGATGTCCCAGTGTTCATTTTTGTGCTTGACCTTGCTCTGTGATCTCTGGTTCACTGTGATCTCCTGTTCACTGTGATCTTTTTGTAATAGACCCTGAGCAGAGCAGAGGACTTTCAGTCAGCTGTTCTCAGACTAGCTGGCGTTCCCATCATTGCTGAAGTTTACTATATTGTAGGAGGTGTTTCACCCAAAGAAGGCATGGTCATAACGAGGAACAGGAGGGGACCAGCAGACCTCTGGCCTCTTGATCCCTTAGGTGGAGCGTAAGTAACAAAAACCATTTTGTTTTGTGTTCTTTTTCATATTCCCTCCTGGGTGATTGGTAAGGTTAGTGACACAGCTTTCTCAAGAGGTTCAGGGCATTGCTTATTAATGCTTACAGCTGGACAGGAAGGCTTGAAAGCCTCTTCAAGGAGCCCCAGCAACTTCTCTTGGAGAAGGAGTCGCACCACCTTATCAGGTTGGGGCAGTCTGGAGGGTTAAGGGTGGAAAAAGCATCTGTATGTGCTAATTTTTTTAGCCAAATTCTAAAGGAGGCAAGACTCGAGGGCCTTTCCTGTCTGTCTGCCAGGTATTGCACCAGGAACTTCAGCACTTCCCAGGTAGCTTTGACTTAATGTGGTAGAAGGGTTGAAGGCTCAAAAATAACTTTCTATAAATTTTGTTGACATCAGCAGTGTAATACACGAAGGAGATTCTAAATAGTTGCCCTGTGGTGAAAAGGGCACTTAGTGCATACAGTCAGTCAGTAAGTACTGGCTTACCCATTGCCAGATGTCTGTTGGCTTTGTGTACTCCAAATGGAATGCTGGAGGCTGCATCATACCCATGGTCTCTTCTCCAGTCATCTCTTTAAAGGTCTGATACTGCTCTTATAAGCAATCAGCAGTGCTTTTGTCACTGAGGCCACCAGAAGTTCAGAGGTTGCTCCTTTTTCATCTGTGTTCAGTGTTTTATGGTAAAGGCCGCTTGGTACTGGCCTACATTGGCATGAGGTGCAGGAAGGAGGCGTTTTAGGGAGGTTTTTTCCTTTTGGCAAGACAGAGACACCGAGTCTTGGCCTTGATTAGTTACCTGCTGATTTGCCTTTTGTTTGCTTTTATATTTGTTTGTTGTGTTATAGGTGGTTTCGTGTGGAGACAAACTATGACCATTGGACTACCCCTCCTCCTTTTGATGATCGAAGGTGAATTTAGTTTGGAGCTCTGTGGTGAGATAACACTGTTATTTTGAAAAGGCTTAGAGATTTGGGTGTTTTCCTTTCTGAGGAGGTGTTAGCTCCCTGAGCAGGCAGCTTACTCTGTTTCTGTAAAGCCACTCAAAAGGGAACAGATAAAGTAAGGAGTGATATTCACAGATGCTAGAGGAAAGTCTGTGTGGCATTGACTGGCATAAAAGATGAGAAATTGAATCACAGAATCCTAAGGGTTGGAAGGGACCTCAAAAGATCATCTAGTCCAACCCTCCTGCAAGAGCAGGGTAAGCTAGAATACATCACACAGGAACTTGTCCAGGCAGGCCTTGAATATCTCCAACGTGGGAGACTCCACAACCCCCCTGGGCAAAGTGTTCCAGTGATCTGTCACTCTCACAGTAAAGAAATTTTTCCTGATGTTCACATGGAACCTCCTATGCTCCAATTTACACCCATTGCCCCTTGTCCTATCACTGGACATCACTGAAAAAATCCTAGCTCCATCATCCTGACACTCATCCTTTACATATTTGTAAACATTGATGAGGTCACCCCTCAGTCTCCTCTTCTCCAAGCTAAAGAGACCCAGCTCCCTCAGCCTCTCCTCATAAGAGAGATGTTCCATTCCCTTAATCATCTTTGTAGCTCTGTGCTGGACTCTTTCAAGCAATTCCCTGTCCTTCTTGAACTGAGGGGCCCAGAACTGGACACAATATTCCAGATGCAGCCTCACCAAGGCAGAGTAGAGGGGGAGGAGAACCTCTCTTGACCTACTAACCACACCCTTTCTAATGCACCCTAGGATGCCATTGGCCTTCTTGGCCACAAGGGCACAGTGTTGGCTCATGGTCATCCTCCTATCCACCAGGACCCCCAGGTCCCTTTCCCCTTCACTACTGTCCAGCAGGTCAGCCCCCAACCTGTACTGGTACATGGGGTTGTTCTTCCCCAGATGCAAGACTCTACACTTGCCCTTGTTGAATTTCATCAAGTTCCTCTCCGCCCAACTCTCCAGCCTGTCCAGGTCTCACTGAATGGCAACACAGCCTTCTGGTGTGTCAGCCACTCCTCCCAGTTTAGTATCATCAGTGAACTTGCTGAGGGTACATTCAGTTCCCTCATCCAGGTCGTTGATGAAAATATTAAACAGCACTGGTGCCAGCACCGACCGCTGAGGGACTCCACTAGTCACAGACCTCCAGCTAGATTCTGCCCCATTGACCACAACTCTCTGCCTTCTTCCTTTCAACCAGTTCTTGATCCACCTCACTACCTGATCATCAAGCCCACACTTCCTTAGCTTATCTATGAGGATGCTGTGGGAGACAGTATCAAATGCCTTACTGAAATCAAGAAAAAACTCATCTACCGCTCTACCATCATCCATCCACCTAGTTACTTGCTCATAGAAGGCTATAAGGTTGGTCGAACATGACTTCCCCTTGGTAAAGCCATGTTGGCTGCTCTCTAATGACCCCTTCATCCTTGATATGTCTAGAGATGGTGTCAAGAATAAGTTGTTCCATCACCTTTCCAGGGATGGAGGTAAGGCTGACCGGTCTATAATTACCCGGGTCCTCCTTCTTGCCCTTCTTATAGACTGGTGTGACATTTGCCATCCTCCAGTCCTCAGGCACCTCACCTGTTTCCCACGACTTACCAAAGATGATGGAGAGTGGCCCAGCAATGACCTCTGCCAGCTCCCTCAGCATCCATGGGTGTATTCCATCCAGACCCATCGATTTATAGATGTCCAGATTACTTAACTGATCCCTAACCCAATCCTCATCTACCAAAGCAAACTCCTCCTTTATCCTGACTCCTTCCGGGGCTATAGGAATCTGGGTCCCCCGGGGAGAGTCTGCTGGAGTAAAGACAGAGGCAAAGAAGGCATTCAACACCTCTGCCTTCTTTATATCCTCTGTCTCCAGGGCACCCACCTCATTCAGCAGTGGGCCTATACTGCTTCTTGTGTTAGTTTTATTTGCTATGTATTTGAAGAAGCCCTTTCTATTGTCCTTGACCCGACTTGCCAGATTAAGTTCCAAGGAGGCCTTAGCTGTCCTAATTGCTTCCCTACATCCTCTAACAGCTGTCCTATATTCCTCCCAAGTGGCCAGCCCCTCCTTCCATAATCCATAGATTCTCTTTTTCTGTATGAGTTTGCCCAGCAGTTCCTTGTTTAACCATGCTGGTCTCCTGGGTCCCCTACTTGACTTCCTACTCATTGGGACACTCTGATCCTGAGCTTGGAAGAAGTGGTCCTTGAATGCTGACCAACTATCTTGAGCCCCTTTACCACCTAGTACCCTTTGCCATGAGACTTCCCTTAGCAATTGATTGAAGAAGCCAAAGTTTGCTCTTCGGAAATCCAGAAATGTGGCCTTGCTAGGTATTCTATTCCTCCCACACAAGATCCTAAACTCCACCATCTCATGGTCACTGCAGCCCAGGCTGCCATTGACCATCACTACTTCAACCAAACCCTCTCTGTTGGTGAGTACCAGATCCAGCAGCGCTCCTCTCCTAGTTGGTTCGTCCACCATTTGCATTAAGAAGTTATCATCAATGCACTGGAGGAACCTCCTAGACTGTGAGTGACTGGCTGTGTAAGTCTTCCAGCAAATATCGGGGTAATTAAAATCCCCCATAAGGACCAAGGCATGTAGTCGTGAGGCTGCTTTCAATTGCCTGTAGAAAGCCTCATCAACTCCTTCGTCCTGATCAGGAGGTCTATAATAGACCCCCACAACTGTGCCACCCGTACCAGCCTGTCCCTTAATTTGCACCCACAGACTTTGCACTTGGTCCTCATCTGCCCCTGGACAGAACTCAATACATTCTAGTCGCTCTTTCACATAAAGAGCAACTCCACCACCTCGCTTGGCTGATCTATCTTTCCTAAAGAGGACATAGCCATCCATTACCACATTCCAGTCATGTGAGCTGTCCCACCATGTCTCTGTAATTGCCACCAGGTCATAACCTTTAGACCGCACACAGACTCCTAACTCCTCCTGTTTGTTCCCCATGCTGCGTGCATTGGTGTACAGGCATTTCAAGGAGCGAGCTGAGCATGCTAGTGGCACCCTTGGAAGGCGGGAGGCCTTCTGGTCTTCATTCATACTAGAACATTGCCCCACTAGTTCAAACCCAGCTACAGCCCCCTCGCACTTCAAATCTAACCTAGAGCTCTGTGAGTGAGCTCTACTAACTCTTGCCCAGGTACCCTTTTTCCCCTGCAGGACAGGGTTTAAACAACTACCCTTTCCCTCAAATGAAACAATAGATTGAGAGTTCTCCCTAGTCTGCCATTCTTCAAGCCCTAGCATGTTTCTCTTGGGCTTGTCCCCAGCAGGCCCAGTTATCTCCCCTTCCCCCTTCCTACCTAGTTTAAAGCCCTGTCAATGAGCCCTGCTAACTCCTGCCCCAGAAACCTTCTCCCCCTCTGGGACTGATGTATCCCACCTGCCACCAGCAAACCAGGTGTCTCATATAGCAGCCTATGATTGAAAAACCCAAACCCCTGCCTTTGGCACCAGTCATGTAGCCATACATTAATCTGCAGTATCTTCCTATTTATCTCTTCACCTTTGCTTGTAACAGGTATGGAGGCAAACACCACTTGCACTCCAGACCCTCTAACCAGCCGTCCCAGGGCCCTGAAGTCTCTCTTCATTGCCCTTGCCCTGCTTGTAATAATTTCATCACTGCCAACCTGAAAAACCAGCAGCGGATAGTAGTCAGAGGGCTGCACCAGATCAGAGAGTTTCCTCTTAACATCTCCAATCTGAGCCCCAGGTAGGCAGCAGACTTCCCTGTGGGATGGATCAGGTCAACAAATGGGCCCTTCTGTTCCCCTCAGAAGGGAGTCACCCACCACAATTACTCTTCTTTTCTTCTTGAGGAAGTTCTAAGGCATGGGGGTGAGTGACAAGCCCTAGGTGACTCACTAGATGGATCTACCCCTCCATCTCCATTTACCTGGCCCTGTAGTTCCAAGACCTCATACCTGTTACTCAAAGGCAACTGGGAGGAAGGAAGGGATTGCGAGGGTTTTCGCTTACCTCTCCGAGGAGGGACCTCCCTCCATACTTCCTTGTCCCTTAAGTTTATTCCTTCTATCTGATGGTAGGAGGGAACGGGATCTATCACTTGTTCAACCACTTCCCTCTGCCCTTGCCTTAGGGTGTGTCTCCACCAATCAATTTCACTTTCACACTCTCTGATAGCTCTCAACCTTTGTATGTCCTCCCTCAGTTCAACCACCTGCTTTAGCAGGTCATCTACTTGCTGACACCGCACACGAGTGGTGTCACTGGCTCTCTCCGATACAAGTGCCAGGCTCAGGCATTCACTGCAGCCAGAGACCTGCACAGCTGCATGTCTGCAGGAAGGCTCAGTCTGGGTACCCACGTTATTCCTAACTACAGGTTTTGATCGAGTGGTGCCCTATCATGGCATTGAAGTATAAGGCTTATACCAAAAATTGCTTTATAAAGCAAAGTTTAGTAAAAGTTAAAAGGATTTAGATTCACAGTGAAGAAGTATTTGGTGATGCTATGAAGGTGCTTGCAGACATCACAGTCTTCAGGCTGTGTAGTATGCAAAAAGCTGTTGGCCCATTCCTTGTTGGTCTGTACTCAGTGATGTGGTCAGAGTAGCTACAGTGATGTGAGTCTAGATTCAGTCACACAGAATTCTGAATTATTTTAGGCCAAGGAAGACTTTTCAGTGTAAAGGCATTTAGTGAGGAATTTTTCACATTGGTGCTTTGTAGCCTTTGGAACAGTAAAATGTGTTTAATAATACTGCATTGCTTTCCTCCAGAACTCCAGCTATCAAAGCTCTCAATGCTACTGGGCAGCACAACATCAATTTTGATACCCTCTTTAAGGTATTTCTTTTAAATTCTGCATTGTGACTTTGACTTAAAATTTCTTTCTTGAAGCAGCAGTGCAATTGCATTTTTGTCAGGGTTTTAAAGGCAGTACTGGCAAGGCATGGTGACAAAGGTGTGCTGTACAGCCATCTCTGGAGAGTTAAAGACTGAGAAAGTGTTTCTGAACTCGCTTGCCTGGGCATTTTGTAATAGCCTGCCAATCTAAGTGGAAAGAGGTGAATTCCATCAGCATCATCTTTGTGCAGTTCTTTACTTCAAGCACAATTATAAATATGACTGTAGGCAGATAAAGTGTTAGGCATGAGTGATATTTACCAGTGAGTTTGGAGAACTTAAATGTTGTGTAGTCAGAGGCTTTTTTAAAAATATTTTTGTAAGATGGTCTGATGGTAAAAACCCCCAACAGCCAGCAAGAGAAATCCCTGATTTTGCATTATTCCTTTTCATAACTTCACCCTATTGCTGTCTCTAAATAGCCTTTTAATTCGCTCTTCATTTACCAAAATGACAACTCTTCAAACTTTCTGTACAGGTGTTGTCAGTGAAGCCAGTCTTAAACAAGTAAGTATTGGATCCAGAGATGTTAATCAGTGCCTCCCGCCATACCTCTGGCCACTTACAAGTCAATCACAAACTTGCTTAGGATATTCCTATGTGTCTGCCTGATTATCTTGTGGTTTCCCAGCTTAGATTTTTGCTTGTGGATGTGATGCTGTGTTTTCACTTCCACAGCACTCTTCCTCTTTGGTCTGCCACCCCAGCCAAGAAACCACACTTCATTAGGCTCAGTCTGGTGAAGGGAAGTTCCTTTGCAGCGGTGAAACAAATGACTGCTTAGAGGAGGAACTGGACTTTCTGCTAAGTCATTTGTGCCTTGCACTTTTGGAACCTTAGGATTTGTGTTAATACTGAAAATAGCTTTCTCTGGAGTTTCTGATGTAGCTTTGCTTGATGTAGAAAAAGGAAAAAAAAATAAATGGGGACATAGCTTTCAGGTACCACATACTGGATTTTGAAGAGATTTATTTCAGTGTACCATTGTTGTTCTGTACCTTTGTGGGTTTTCCTGCTTTGTTTTGCTTTTATATGCAGCTCAGTACATTTTCTAGATCAGTCACTGGCGTGAGAGCTTGGTAATGGCTTCTTCAAGGTTAATACCAGGATTCCCTCTCCTCTGTCATATAAATGTGAGGAAATTTGAAAAGGAGAAGATTATAGCTGTGTCACTGCTAAGAGTAGAAGTACCGTTTTTTTAATACAGTGATAAAATGGATGTAGAAATACATTTCTAAAGTGGGGGGAAAAATACTAAAAACTTGTGCCAGCAGCCTTCATTTTTATCAATCTCCTTCTTTTGTTTGAACATTTGTTGTTTTTACTAAAAAACATTTGTTTTACTAAAAAACATTTGTTTCACTAAAAGTTGTTTTGCTGCTTTGCTAGTTTTAGAAATGAATCTGCTTGCCTTTGGAATGTCACTCACTCACTCCTTTCCTCTTTCCCTGCCAGTAACACGGTGTATACCACAGTAATGAGCGCTGCACTTCCAGATAAGTACCAGACATGGATCAGAACTGACACGTGAAGAGGTGTAAGTAGTGTGCTGGTACTCCCAGGTACTTGCACTTAAATAAAAATGTCAGCTGAAGAGTTGTTGAGGGACAAAGCACTACAGTAGAACTCAGGTGACTTAGTCTGAATTCCTGCTTCTCCCCTTGGTTTTCTTACCGACCTTGGGTAAATACCTTCCCTTGTTGTAATGATCCACAAGTATTGACGTTCCTTGCAAAACTCTTGGAGATTATCATAGGAAAAGTGCTTTGCTAAAGAGGAGGGGTTGGCTGTTGTTGTGACCTAAAGGGAGAGGTTCCCTCTGTGCATATTCTTGCTATTATTTTTGCCAGTCTCCCCACTCCTATGCTTGCATGCCTTCAGGTGGCTGACTGTGACAGGAGGCCCTGCCAGAGCCAGCCTAATCCCAGCAGGAGGGGTTGATGCACTTGGCAGCAAGAAAAATCAAGCTTAATTTGTGACAGCCCCTTGCAGATGACTAAACGTGAGCATCCTTTGAGGGGTTTGTCCTGTGAGCCTGCGGAAAAAGTCGAAGCACTTAAACGTACAGGGTGCCTCTCACAGCGGCTTTAATGTGTTCAGAGAAAGACATTAGGTTATGTTGTTTCTGTTCCAAGAAACTCTGGCTGTGTGGTCTTGGCAGGAGCATGAGAAGCTCCTGTTCCAGGTTAAATAGTTTTTAAGATTATGACTAGTATTGTATTTCTGGCAGTTACGTTGCACATGTGATTTTAGCAAGAGCAGTTCTGTTCTCTTAGGGATTCTGACAAGTTTGTTTCTTAATTCTACACAAACCCGTGCTCTCTTCTGAATCTTTGTTTTGTTTGGTTTTTTTTTAGTTCAACAGACAAAATGAGTGAAAAGCTGAAGCTTTCCAAGACCAGAGTATGCTTTTAAAATCACTTTCACAAGCAGTACAGTTGTTCTGGCTTATTAAGTATGTGAACCTTTGAGGAAACAATGGCTTGTTAACTCTTTGAAGTGTTGCGGGTGGTACTCTTGGTGAACTGTTATGAATGTTTGATTGATTTTATTGTAATTACTTTGTAATTAATAATTGTAATTTACTAGCAGATGTTGATGGCTAAAAATTGCTTTTACTGTTTTGGGAAAGGGTTGTGAAATGTATTTATGTGCTGACTAATATACAAAAATCATGTATTTTGCATGGCCTTTAGGTTTGAATATAGTGAAATAAACATATGCAGCTGATCACTTTTTTGTTTGTTGGGCTGCACTGTGACTGCATATTGAATTTGGGTACTTCTTGGGAGCACTCCAGAAATACTGAAGGATTTAAAGAGTCAATACCAGTGGATAACTTTACATAAAGCTCAGAGGTCCCGTTCTTCCCCTGACAAAATTCCTGCTAATGCCAGTTAGGATTTGCCCTGAGAGAAGGACGTGTGATCAGAAAGTTAGGTTGGAGCACCATTTCCAGGTATGTGAAATGTTGCCTTGTAGTACTTGTCCACTGGTTATGCAAACAGTTTCTGTTACAGCTTTATGGGGATGTGGGCCCTTTATCTCCTTGGGCTGAGTCTGGCTGAGTGTCGTAACCTACTTACCTGCATCCTCTACTTCTGCTGGGATAAATGTGCTGCCAGCTTTGCCTTGTCCTAGTTTGTACTGGAACATGTCCCAGTTTGTACATGTTAGGAGTCATGTGCTGGAATGGTACATTTGAAAGAGAGTGAATTTCAGGAGGAAGATATAAATAACAGTGGTCACAATGTCTCCGAGATTCCAGAATAACATTGCTGTAATTTACAGAGCAGGGACTCACTCTGATCCCAGCAGTTTATGTAACAGCCACCCACAAGTGAAGACAGAAGGATCTGTACAGGTGTAACATCGTCTTGACCTCAGGAGTGTTAGGCCGATTATCTTCTCAGTGGTATATAAACTTAATCAGGTGTATTTGTTTTGATGTGTACAAAAACCTCAGAGTGTGTGAATATTTGGTAGCCATGAATATTCAGGATGCAATTGGCTGCTCCTGTTGGGTTTTTGTTTCATCAGCTGTTTGGAATGTGCTCAGGCCCAGCCACAGCGCAGATTAGGGAAATGTGGGTTTTTCTAAGATTTAAAAAAAAAAAAATCTAGATTTGAACAAGTGTAAATTTATTTTATTTTGGGTATTTTTCCTTTTATTTTAGAATCATGGAATCACAGAATAGTTAGGGTTGGAAAGGACCTTAAGATCATCTAGTTCCAATCCCCCTGCCACGGGCAGGGACACCTCACACTAAACCATGTCGCCCAAGTCCAAGTAGCCTTCTCTTCTCCAGGCTGAACAACCCCAACTTCCTCAGCCTATCTTCATACGGGAGGTGCTCCAGTCCCCTTGATCATCCTCATGGCCCTCCTCTGGACTTGTTCCAACAGTTCCATGTCCTTTTTATGTTGAGGACACCAGAACTGCACACAATACTCCAGGTGAAGTCTCACAAGAGTAGAGCAGAGGGGCAGGATCACCTCCTTCAACCTGCTGGTCATGGTCCTTTTGATGCAGCCCAGGATACGGTTGGCTTTCTGGGCTGTGAGCACACACTGAAGCTGGCTCATGTTTATTTTCTCATCGACCAACACCCCCAAGTTCTTCTCTGCAGGGCTGCTCTGAATCTCTTCTCTGCCCAACCTGTAGCTGTGCCTGGGATTGCTCTGACCCAGGTGTAGGACCTTGCACTTGGCATGGTTAAACATCATCAGCCGACCTCACAAGCGTGTCGACGTCCCTCTGGATGGCATTCCTTCCCTCCAGCGGATCAACCGAACCACACAGCTTGGTGTCATTGGCAAACCTGCTGAGGGCGCACTCAATCCCACTGTCCATGTCAGCGATGAAGATGTTGAACAAGACCGGTCCCAACACCGACCCCTGAGGGACACCACTCGTTACTGGTCTCCAGCCGGACATTGAGCCATTGACCACAACTCTTTGTGTGCGGCCATCCAGCCAGTTCTTTATCCACTGAGTGGTCCACCTATCAAATTGATGTCTCTCCAATTTAGAGGCAAGGATGTCGTGTGGGACAGTGTTGAATGCTTTGCACAAGTCCAGGTAGATGACATCAACTGCTCTACCCCTGTCCATCAGTTCCATAGCCCCATCATAGAAGGCCACCAAATTGGTCAGGCAGGATTTCCCCTTAGTGAAGCCATGCTGGCTGTCACCAAGCACCTTGTTGTTTTTCATGTGCCTTAGCATACCTTCCAGGAGAATCTGCTCCAAGATTTTGCCAGGCACAGAGGTGAGACTGACTGGTGTGTAATTCCCTGGGTCATCCATTTTCCCCTTCTTGAAAATGGGGGTTATATTGCCCTTTTTCCTGTCATTGGGAACTTCATCTGACTGCCATGATTTTCCAAATATGATGGACAGTGGCTTAGCAACTTCATTCACCAGCTAATTTTCTTAAAGCCTTGCTTTTAATCTATCTATAAACATCCAGACATTCTGACTGCTAACAGAATAAAGCCTTTATGCAAACTGGGATACTGTTTTTTTTGCTAACCATAACTTTCTGGTCTTAGTTTAATGACAAACTGAAAATATCAACACTAAGAAAGTGGTAAATGACACATCTTAGAAACAAGGTGATTTAACCTGAGAAATGTATTGAGCTGTTTTTGCTTAAGAATTGAAATGTGATAAAAATGCAGAAAGAGAGAATTATTAATACTTTAAAATAAAACCATCTATACAATACTGGGACTGTTAAAAAGTAACACTGGTTTATGGAGGGATTGGGTGTTCTGTGGGATCTTTTCTTAAAAAAAAGGCTCATATGTAGTTAGTTGAATTTGCTTGGTGATCATCCTTCTGTGTGAGATTTCATCTGCCTTTTGGAGACTGAGAGGTAAAACAGCTTTTCTGCTTTCTCAAGCCTGGTCAGCTTCATGACTTAGAATTGTTAGGTAATTAAATGGAACTAAGTTAAATACATTTATCATTGCTTTTTCCATCCTTCTGTTTCTGCAGTACAGAGCTACAAAGCCCCATTTTTCATCCCAACATAGGTAACAGGTGAAACCTTTAATCCTTTTTCCTCCAGAAGTTTACATTTACCAAATGGCAAATTAAAAGCATGTAAGAGCTGATTCTCGAGAGAGCCCAATGTACTGTATTTCTCATTCATAATCCTCTTCAGTAATCCTAATCCCTATCAGACCTCCAGCCTTTCTTAAGCATCACATGGGAGAGGATTCTTAAAGCTGCTGAGAAGAACCATGCGGTAAATAAATCGAAGGGTCTGTATGTATTGCTGAGCAAGCACACATGTTCTGCACTGCAGGTGCTGGAAGGTATGGCAGTCTGTGCTGTGTGCCCAAGGGAGCAGATTCCTTGATTATTTATGTTCTGAGGAGGAGTTTCTGAATCTCTAATCAAGTAAATCGCTTCAGAGTTTATTGGTCACTCAGGGGGCTGAATAGAAGCAAGAACTTAAAGAGTGGAGAGCTTCTATTGTGTCTACCTTAATAAAGCCATAAGCTAGAAACTGATGGCAAGGTAAGTTCCATTTTTCTTTCACTGTAACAACGCTTTGTGTTCAGAAGTAGTTACTCGTCACCCATAGTTTGAAGTGAAATACCCTTTTTATATGTCAAGCTGTATAAAACTGAAGTTCTGCTTTTTGGCACTGCAGTAAGTGTGCAGGTCCAGAGGTCAATGCATGTGTAAATAAAACAAAACAGGCTTCACCATCTTGTTTCCAGCTGCGAGATGTGCCAAGTCTGGTGTACACGTGGGATATATGCAGGCACTTCCTCTTAGGAGGGCAAGGCAGGACCATCACTTTCTCTAGTGCTAGTTGGCAGCTGTGTTCTTGGAGGAAGTATTTGATTCTTTTTTTCTTGATTAATTTGTAGCTGCGGAACCGCATGCTGCAGGTTTTCTTTTAGCAGACCTTAGGATTTCTCTTCCCCTCTGACATCTCTCAGTTTTTCCTAGTAAACTTTTTGTCAGGCTATTGTACTCTTTCCTTCCTATCTTGCTCATCTCTTCCCTCGGTTGTTTGAATGCCTATGAAATTGTCAATTTAGTGGGGATTCAGTGATACGTGTTTTGGAGCGAGATGGTGTTCCTTGCAGGAAGCCTTCAATTCATGTGGCTGAAGCACCAAATTCTGCACAGATCTGTGATGTGGACAAGCTCAGGGGTGTGACAATCTGTAGCATTTGAACCAAAATGCTGTCAATTGCTTTGGTTTTGAAGGAGTTAAAGTAGTATTTACAGTAAGCCTGGAAATTTAGCCAGGTTTTTGTTGTTCTTGTTTTGGGGTGGTTGACACAAATGGATTTGTGCTAGTTTTCCTTTATTGAGTTTTATTTAGTATTATATGGTGTTATAAAAGAAGTCAGTAGCTTATGTCTTCGGAGTTGCAAAGAGAGTATATTGCCCTTTGGGTTTGGAGGTGTCCGTGAAGTCTGGCTGTTACGTGTTTCTCCCACCTATTAGAACGTGAACTCTGGTGAATGGGGAACGTGCATCTTTTCTATATGCCTGCAGTCTTCTGCTGAGGCACTGAACTCTGTTGCTCTGTTTGTTGTCTCTGATCACGTGTGACTCTTAAGTCCATGGGGTTTTTTTTGGCGATGCTGTACAAGGTGGTGTGTACCTCATGTGAATGTACTGCAGCTTCTCAGGGAGAAGCACCAGGGAAAATATAACTATCTCTGCAGGAGGCAGTGGTGGTGAAGAGTAAGATGAGGAAGGAAAGCAACTGGCATAATTTTGTCTCATGTAGCTCTTTAATACAGCCTGTATTTGAGGTGATGCTGCTGTTCAAATTCATCAAGCCTTCATCTCTGTGGGGAGTGGTGCCTCTGTCCTGACCCTTCAAAATCCTTGGAGCTATGGTCTCTGCATAGCACCAGGCTTAACGTTTTTACAGGTGTTTATTTCCTTCTCTCCCTTTCTCAACTTTCCCCTGCTCTGGTTCTGGGTTAGAATAAAAACCTGTGCAATTCTCATGCCAGACAGCCTGGGAGTACTCTAGCGGTACTATGTGATTGCTGGCTTTTTTTCCAGAGGAAACATACCTGACTGTGAGCGATATTCTGATTGTTCTCAAAGTGAGACATTTCAGAATTTGACCTAATCTTGGAATAGGGTCTGTTTGCTTTGACCAGAGATTTCCACAGCAGTGACGTTATAGAAGCCTGGCTGTCTGTCCTTTTATACAGGCAATTGGTGGGACCTGTGCAGCTGATGATACAATATACTCCCACACTGAAGCAGATCCACGAGGTGAAGGAAAGTAGTGTTTAACAAAACTGATTGATTACTTTCTTATGATAGCTAATTGTTATTTTAGACTTACCTCCCCTCTAGCTGTGGTACTGCAAATAGATTTTAATACCGTCTCTGTGTTCATCCATCATAATGAGAATTATCTTTCACGGATGGTTATGTGCGTGGAAATTTGTCTGCATATATTGATTGTTAATGAATCAGCTTAACGACTTCTATACAGAAGACAAGAAAGTAGCTGGAAAAACCTGGCAGTGGAAGATGTACTTGGGCACAACACAGGCCACCTGCTCGTTGATCTCAAGTGTTTATATATTTAATTATAGATTCTCAGCGCTGTGGGACATGTTGCAGCTGTCTTCATTCTGACTGAATGGTCTTTCCCTCATCTCTACGGTGGTTTTGAAGATACTGGACGAGACTGCAACATTCTTGGAGCATTGGTTGGAGAACATGGGATCTGGTAGTTCTGGAAATGCCAACTACAAGTACTCCCTGCAGAAGTCTGAAAATGGTGAGTGTCTCTTTGAAAAGTCTTTGAGTGTCTGCTCCTGCACCTGCTGTTGGGAGGTTGCAGTGGATCTGCTTCTTTTCTGAATTACCTGGTTTTCTTCATAGTCTTGAGTTTGAAGTCACATCTTTCAGTATCCTGTAACAAGGAGTCTCAGCTGTTGGCAGACCACCGACAGGCATGAGAAAATAACAGCTATTTAGACCAGGGTTAGATGAGAATCAACAAAACCTAAACAGAAATTAAGCAGCAAAAAGCAATTCAGTTAGAACTAACATTGAAGGGGTTTCAGTTGCTGGCTCTCAAAGCTGTAACGATTTATTTTTATGAAACCCTCTGTATGATAGTATCAACTTTGTGGGTGTGTGCTCAGGTCTGCTGTGGAACAAAGGGAGATTATGAGTGAAACTTTACATATAATGAAGTGTAAAGAAGTAAATGTTTGCTTCCTTTGTTGTTCGAATCATTTGGCATTGGCAGACCAGCAGAATGGTGAAAACTGTTTCAGGAGCCTTGGAAAGAAAAGTAGTGACTGCAGGTAGAAATCAAGGAAGTGGGGATACCATTGTGACTCAGTCTTTTTGATTGTAATTCTATTCTGTTGAAAATCTCCCTCCAACTTTTATTTAAGTAAGTTAAATCTGTCCATTGCCTATAGCACCAGAAAACCACAGACCTGCCCAACAACTTCAGGGCTGTTTTATGATAATGGCTTGTCTATAGCAAAGAAAGTATACTGTAAAACTAGTTACTTATTTGAAACGCTGCATGAGACCCGCTACCCCATCAGCAGCTTTGCATGGCAGTAAAACCTCTCTGAATTTCTTGTGTCTGGCTCTCCAAACCCTTCAGATCTGGTGATCTGCAGATATGGACTGCTTAGAAGTTTCCATCCATGTACAGAATGCCAGGTCTTGTCCTAACCCCTTGCATAAGGCCCAGAGGCTGTTCCCAATAGAAAGCATAGCCAGTAGATCTCTGATAAACTGGCCCTTGAGGGGCCTGAGGGAGTAAGGGGATGGGGAACCCAAGAGAGGGCTCCTCAAGCCCAGATCCTGTAGGCTGATGTGTGAACTGTACTGCTAGCATGAATAGTGGACTTTACTTTGAGTGCTGACACTTTGACATGCTTTCAGTAGCTTATGTGATGATGTATGATTCAGTTTACTGCTTGGATCCCCATAATAAATAAATGGATAAATCTCTTTCTCTTCCTTCTTTATTCTTTTTTTCTAAACTAGTACAAACACTGCCAGATGAAACTCACCCAGGTAAGATGGTGAATTACAATACCTGGCTTTTTCAGTTGCAGAGTCAGTCTCTGTAAAGTAGCATAAAAATCCAATGCCTTGCCCATCTGGAGTTTAAAATAATGTGCATGGTGGTAGATATGCTCACTGTGTGTTTGATAATGAGTCTTTCATAGATTTGGTTTTTAATATCCCAAAGGATTTAGCTTTTATTGGTGCATGTGGAGTCATAGCTATGAATTTCTGCTTGGTATTCACTTGAAATATATCTGACTCCTACCACAGTAATTAGGCACTTACCCACTGTTGGGGAATGCAAGATATTTAGAAGTTGTTTATTTTAGAGAATGATTGTTACTGTGATTTTGGTTATGTGCCAGCCAAATTACTGTACAGGGAGTGAGGTAGCTAGTGTCGTGTCTGTTAAAGAGCCTTGGAGTGGTAGCATCATGAGCACCAACCTGCAGGAAAAAAGTCAGCCTTTCTTTTCCCAAAGTGCAGCAACTCAGTAAGCATTTTTGTTTTCAAGATATAAGGCTCAGGCAGACTACATAAGTTATTCTTGAATTAAGGCTAGCCAAGTCTTACCTTCTTGCCCATGACTTCACCACAACTCAGTTCCCAAGCTGCACAATAGCGATAGCTCTTTGTGTTTTGTGCTCTGCAGCTCCTACTCCTGTAACAGTAACATTATTTAGAAGGATTATTATTTTCCATACGTAAGCCATCAGGACATCTTATTTAGGTAAAGGTCAATGTTTTCTGCTCAAGTACAGGTAGGGTGGTTTATATTACATAATTAATGCAAGCTAATTGAATTAATGTGATCTCTTTGTCTTATGCCAGCACGAAGCAGTCCTTGGGGTACAGGTGGGGTGTTGCTTTCTTTTTAAGCAGGTTTCTCCACCCCCCCCCCCCCCTCCCCACCCCCCCCCCCATTGCTCTCCCTGCCTCGGTGAACGTGGCAGTGCTCTCTCACAAACTAGATACCAAAGGAACACAAGCTTCTGCAGCAGGGCTAACTCTGTCATCTCCATTTGATTCTGGGGCTAGCCTGTAGATAGAACAGTCATCCCTCCCCCCCTCAGCTAAAGATGCCACAGAGAAGCAGTGTTAGAAAATGTTTTAGATGTAGGGCTCGAGGGTAGGACTCCAGGAAGGTACACAGAGATTATCAAAAGAGAGGTAAGTTACAAAGCTGTTTGGCAGGGTGCTGTAAAGTAACCAGGCAGTCCATATGGAGTGAAGAGCAGCTAAGGAGGATGGAGTTGTTTCTAGAGGTACTAGATTGTGGCAGAACTTGAAAAAGCAGACAGGACCCTGCACCAATGTACTTCAAATATGCCCACACCCCATGTGAAATAATATAAAACACTGGAATGGGGAAAATGCAGAGGAAAGGTTATGATTTAAATATTAGGGCAAATAGTCATCATTTTCTGCATTTTATTCTTTCTGTGTCAGTAAGTGGCCAAAGATCTGTCTCTTTTCACTGTGGGTGTTAATTTTGTCTTTCTTTTACTCGAAGATAATGGTATGTTTACATTTATGCTAGAATAGATCCCTTCTGAAGTTTGTCCAGAACAGCAAAACCTGAGGAACTGATTTGGTTTAGAAAGAAGGTGGATAATCCCCGTATTTTTAAGGTGGAAGGGGACTCATTGTCTTGTTTTCCTTCAACTCCTTGTGCACCTCAGCCAAACCTCTAGTTTCCTGAAGCCACAGAACCTAGACTGTAAGACAGACATGAAAATGATCAGGGTAGATAGAAAGGGAAGAAATTGTCTATTAATACTGAATAGCACATTTAGGTGTGTGTCTTTAGGCCCTAATAAGCTGTTGTTAATGCTGGTGCTGAGGAGCCAGCAGTGATGGTTAGATGTGCTTCATCAGAGGTTCCTGGTCAGGCAGAGTCAGATCAACCTCTCAGACTACGCTGAAAAGATGCAGGTGTTCTGCTACCCTCGGTATTTAGGCATCAGAACACCTTTCCTGAAAAAGAGAGGTCCCTCTGCAATTTTCAGGGTCAGGAAAGGAGCTGTAGCAGGGTGCCTCAGCTGCAGCCAGCGCAGCGCAGCACGCTGGTTCTGGTTTTGTCCCCAGCTTTCAAGGCAGCTGTCTTGATCCAGCAGTGGTATCGGCGCTATGTTGCTCGCCTGGAAATGCGCCGACGTTGCACCTGGAGAATCTTTCAATCAATAGAGTATGCTTGTGAGCAGGATCAGATCAAGGTAAGGTGCCATGGAAAAAACCTCGTAGGAAAATATGCAGGAGGGTGGTTTCTGTGTCACAGGCTTGCTCATTTCTGGCTACTGGCTGGTAAATCTCTTAAGTACTTCAGTGGGCCAAGGACTGGGTTTTCTGCCCCTTCTTACGCTGTTGACTTCCTGCCTGCTTATGTCTGATGAGACCCTAAGTAACGAGTCTTGAAAGCAAGCTGTAAGGACCATTTAGTATTGTTTTTCCTGAGCTGGACACAACAGACAATGTTATTTGGTGAAGGTAAAGCTACTTTGGTGATTTGATCACAAGATAGTCAAACTAGAATTGGTATAGTATGCTTTGTTGTACGCACCGAACAATGTGAGAAGGGCTTAGACAATACTTCTAGAAAGAAGATCCTGTTAAGTTGCTACTCTGCAGGACTTCATTCCAGGGTGAATGATGATGGGCTTGCTCTCTTCTTGCAGCTTCACAACTTCTTCACTTACCTCATGGATCACTTCACACCAAGCAGCAGCAAAGAGAGTAAGTTTCTATGTGCCGCTTGTAGATGAGCATCAGCAACTCAGGTTGCACCCTGTATTGATTTGCTGTCCAGTGCTGCCCCTTCAGGATGGCAAGAGGAATCAAAAGAGTCTAAAGAGTGATGGCCTCAGGAATTTGGATAGGGAGTGAATTGTCTGGAGACTGTTAGAACTATGCAAGGGATGTGGGACAGTTCCAGCTCCTTAGGAGCTAGAAGGGGGCATAGAAGCTCAATATGTTTTCTATGAGTAGAATTAGAAATCTCAAGGGTATCTATATGATTTATACTTAATCTCCCACTTATAATTGGGGGGGGGGGGGGGGGGGGGGGGGGAGTTCTATGGGAACCAGTACTGTATCTTCTTCCTGAATCTGCAGAGAGCATTATCTTAGTGCTGGGAACTTATTGAAGGGCTTAGCTCTAAATCTCATGGTAGTAAGTCAAAACTAACCATTTACTTTGCTGACCATAACCTGCTGAAGCATTTGCTCCTTCCTTTCAAACTGCCACCCTTTTTCTTACAACCACCCCACATATTTTACAGCAAAACTGTTGAGGAAGACTTTTTTTTTCGGTGCCTGTATAAAAGGAGACAATAGTGTCCTGTTCCTAGAGTTGGGCTCTGAGATGTTACAGCACTAAAACCGGGTGTATGTGTATTTATACAGATTTTGTGCAGCACTGAGAATGTAGGTGCAAGCTTACAAAAACCAGTGGGATGTAGGAGATGGTTCATTATGATACAGCTTGCTTTTGCATGTCATGGAAAATAAGATTTCAGTTAGCCATGGCAACCAATGCCCGTCTGGCTCTACTGAAGTTTTGCTAGTGTAGCTGCCAGCACTGCCTGACACATAGCACATGGAAACTTGTCCCTGCAGCCTTTTCCCCTACTGCAAATTCTGTAGTGGTGTCAAACTGGAAGCTGTCTCCCACCCCTGCCACTAGCTCTAACCTCACCAAAAAACTTTTCTTTAGCAAATTGCTGGAATGGTGCATTGAGCCAACCTAACTTTTCCTTGTCTCTATTTTTAAAACAACTGACTCATCTGCTGTCCAGGGGATTTTATCAGTCGCATGTTCATTAGTGGGGAAAGCTTCAAAGAGGCAGAGCTGGAAAAGTACTGTGACTATGAATCCATAGAGGTGCCAGACTCCTACACCGGACCCCATCTCTCTTTCCCGCTCCTTCCTGACCATGCAACTGCCTTGCTGGACGCGTTCAAACAGAAACAAGTAAGGATTCCAAGAGGAACCATGCTTTCCCATCCTCTACACAAGGGTCTAGGATAGATAGTTTGGTTTTAGCCTTCCTAACCAGCTAAGCTGACCGGAGTATAACAAGCTGGCAGGCTGTGAAGGAAATGGGGCTGGCAATGGTTTGATGTTTCCCCCTACCACCTGCACTTTTTTCCTTTCTGAAAATGCAGTTCTGACAAACCCCAAAACTTTTCATAGGTATGTACCAATATTAACCTGAATTTCATTTTGAAAGGGAAAAAAAACCCACCCCCACACCAGTCCATGTTGAAACAGTCTGTCATTTTTTGTTGCAACTCCTCAATTTGTTAAAAAGTTTAGGATGGCCCAGACGGAACCAGCTGATTGAAGTTATGTTTTTTGCCATGCAGCTTTGACTTATATTTAAAATGTAAAACGTGAGTTTTTTGCCGGGGAAGTCCAGTACCAGTTCAGCAGCATGAACAAGACAATTCCTTGTACAAATGCAGTGTTCTGTTGCCATCCCTCAGTCAAGGTGCTGAACTGCAAAACAGGCCACAAGGCCCCTTCTCCAAACAAAATGACTTTTAAAACAAAGGTCTCTAGTGCTTTGACTAATATTAAATGCCTACACCCTGAGAACACTTCTGCAGGACATGTGAGAGTTCACAGCCTGGTTTTATGCGGAAACGCTAAGAAAGATCTAGAGGTGCAGCTCCGTACCTGTGATGCCGGGCTGGAATTGCTGCTGCTCTAGGAAGCGGTGTTGCCTAGGGCTTTTGGATTCCCCTGCCAGCCCTGCCAGCGCTGAGACTGCTTTGGGTCAGTCTCTTCAGTCCTGCTGTTTCCCAGGATTGTCCTCACCTTGTTTACAAGCCCATAGGTCAGCACTGTTGTCCCAGTGAGAGCTTCTGCCATCCAGGCTGTCAATCACTGGTGGATCTTCGGGTCCTTCAACAGAGCTGTATTGGTGCTCAGAGGTCACTGATTTCCTGCTTTAATCCCTTCGCTTTCTCCTAGTAGCAGCTCCATGCTCGCTATGTCTTAAACCTCCTGCATGAGACCAGGAAGCACCTCAAGCAGTTGCCAAACATCAGCCATGTCTCCACATGCTACAGCGAGGAGGTCACCGTGTGTGGTAGGTCTGGGAGGGGGGGTACTGCACAGTCTCTGGAGCAGATATATCACTTGTGTGGAAGGGGTGGGAAAGATATAAATGGTAGCAAGCACCTCTGCCCTCCTCTGTACTGAATGTGGAACATAAATGAGGCCTGTAAGCAAATGCCTGTTTGCACTGAGAGGCAACTGGTGCTGTCCAAAATATTCAGGTTTACCACATGATACTTTAATGTGAGCTGCTGTAAAGAGTAGCCTGGAGGGTGGAGGGAGCATGTCTGCATCTTGGCCCACTTTCTGCTTGGTCTAGAACAGGAAGGAGACAGGGCGTTGAGGGAACGTGGTTTGTCTGTTTGTATCTTGTGTTTGGCTTCCGGCACAGATTTTGGGATACACTATTGACAAACCCTGCCCCTAGATGGTAACTAGTTTGATTATTATTTCATATGCAAAGCTTTCTCCCATGTAACGATCAGTTTCTTGTGTCATGTTGCATCATCATCATAAGAGATAAATGAACAAAACTTCTGAATCAGAGGCTTCAGAAGCTAGTGTGGGTTTTTTGGTATTCCCAGGTGTCAGCCTTTACATCATGTCATTTTTCTTTGGGCACAAGCCTCAGTGTAAAGAAACTTGTACCTCGAACTTCCCAAATATTTCAGCTTATTTCAAATTTTTCATTTTAATATTTCAAATATTTCAGTTTCTAGAGGTGATACTTTATAGGAAGTTATTTATTGGTGCCTTTTTCAATTGAAGGTAAACATACCATGACTAGTCTTTTTGTGCCTGTTAGGAGACCTGCATGGCCAGCTGGATGACTTGTTCCTCATATTTTATAAGGTAGGCACCGAATCTGGAGAAGGAGGCTGGCCAGGCATGGGGAGAGGGATAGCATGGGTCATGCTGAGGAGTGTTTGCAAATCTGGGACCTTCACATGCAATTCTCCAGGTCAATTTGATCAGTTTGGCTTCACAAAGCAGCAGCTTATTCCCTTGCTGAAATCTGATATATGTGTACGTTTGGGAAGTGACAGTGGACATTTTTGTGAGTGCTGATACCAGTGGCCACTCTTCCTGACTGACAGCTTTCACTTGTCGGTGCATTTGCCACTGTGCTCCTACAGGATAAAAGTAGGAGTCAGGACCTACTGCATAAGGTAACCTGGGACAGGAGGGAGAGGTACATGAAGATTGTGTGGAGGCCTCTCTTGTGCCATCTTCCTGTTCCTTGCTTTTACAGAATGGCCTTCCTTCCCCTTCTAAGTCCTATGTGTTCAACGGGGACTTTGTAGACAGAGGCAAACAGTCCCTTGAGATCCTCATCATCCTCTTTACCTTCCTCTTGATCTATCCAAAGGAGGTTCACCTCAACCGTGGGAACCATGAGGACCACATGGTCAACTTACGGTATGGGCTCTGTGTGGGGCTGGTTGCAATGTCAAGGGTGTCACTGCGAAATCCAACTGAATTTCCTTTCTCCTGTTCCTTTAGCTATGGTTTCACCAAGGAAGTAATGCATAAATACAAGGTAGGTATACTTTTGTATCTCCTTTACCAGGTGAGAGGTGAACTTTAAAGCCTGATGCTTTTTAGCATCTTTTCCTTTCTGACCTGTCCTCCTAGGTGCATGGGAAGAAAATCTTGAAGATGATTCAGAACGTCTTTTGCTGGCTCCCCCTTGCCACCCTGATTGATCAGAAAGTCCTCATTATACATGGGGGCATCTCTGACACCACTGACCTGGATGTGCTTGAGAAAATTCAAAGGAACAAAGTAGGTTTCTTTTCCTAAACATTGCAAGAGACAACAGTGTTGCTGATCTGTGGTGAGGAGCTTATTTCTACAAGTCATCTTGGTTGTTGATGGTCTTCCTAGGCAAACTGTGTTTAGGTACAGGCTTGGAGAGGATCACTTTGGTTTAATAGTGTATGTGCAGGAGGTGTGAAGGGAAGAGGCATTCTTGGCTTCCGGAATGTGTAGGATTAGTCCTTTCCTCATTCTGCCAACACATTCCCATTGCAGATTAAATCTATGTACTCTATCTTTTGTGAAATTCCTGAGCAGCATAAAGCCAATGAAGATGAGTGATCTGTAGTCAGGATGGATGGGGGGCCCCAGCTGTAAACCTAGAATGGCATATATGAGAGGATGGCACTAGTAATCACTCACAGTTAATCATCATTTGATGGTAGCAAAGGGATTTGAGGCTTGGGTCACTTGACAGTCTGCCAGTGGAAGATGTTAGAGCTGAAGATACTGGTTTCCAAGTGATGTGATCAGGTCTCTTTTCTCTTTTACCTCTTTCAGTTTGTTTCTGTATTGAGAGGGAAGAAAAGAAAGAAGTCAAACAGAAATGTGGAAATACAGGAAACAAACGAGGAGAGCAAAGCAGAGGCTGACCCAGCAGGGAATGAGGCAGCTCACAGTTTACCTCCCTCACCCCAACCAGCCCAGGCTCCCGGAACGGCCAACAGGCAGGAGTTCTCCAGGTGGGTCCGGAAGACGGTGCAGGAGCAAATTGAGTGGTGCCGCCGGCTGGTGGACATCAGTGAGTCAGAAGAGGAGGAGCTCACCTACGCCAGCATGATCTCCTTGACAGATTTGGATGGGCTGTGCCAGACTCGCCAGGAGGACTGGAAGCAGGTGAGTAGTCATCTGGGGCCCTGAGCTTGGTGGGCTGTATGTGCCTCCTGCAGGTTTGCTCTCAGTGCAAAACATGTGGGTCAGTGCACATCTCTCTCTGCATGGCTGTATAATTGAAAGTACTGCTCTGACACAGAGCACAGCAACAGGTTTTCTTGAATCACGACAGGGAAGAGAAAGAATAGAACAGACAAGACTGACTGCAGAGCCCAGGGGTTGTATCGCTGGCTGTGTATGTGGGGTACCTGAAGTCAGTCTGTAGGTAATGAATGAGCATATCATTTGCTGACAAGTGAGTTGTGATGTTGTGTGCTAAGAGCAGACTGAAGGTTTTAGCTGGGTTGCCCTGTGAGTAGATTGTTAGGGAGTGTCAGAGCCTGGGAATTTGCTTACCTGTTTGTGTTAGACCAGTCTGTAAGCTCCTTCTGTGTGCTCTGAAACCATCGTTCCTTACTCCATGTTACTTGACAGCTCAGCACTGCACACCTTATCAGAATAAAGCTATAGACTGAGGTCAGGGTTAAAGAGATTAAACTTTAATCCAAATAGCAGTTACTGAGTCAGCACTTACATTTCTGGAGGCTGTGGAATGTCCCGGCTAGAGTACAAAGGAATTTAACACTAAGCCTGCTCACGGCCTCAGGATCTGCCAGGTGGCGTTGCCCTGGGACTTGTGTTTTGGTGTGGAGGAGGACAGGCAAGGCTCCTTGAAATCTTAGAGGCAGCAAAAGGAAAGCTTGTATCAGGCCTGATTTATGGACAGCCCTCTTCCCCCAGGCCTACAATATTGTTACTTCTGTGGTGGACCAGATCTGTGACAGCCCTGCAGAGCAGAATGGCGGTTCAGCTAGGATGCAGCAAATACCTCTGTTTCTCTGCACTATGGTAATAGCAGCACTCCAGGGAGGGATTTGGAGGCAGAGCTGTATTTGCTTTGTAAACTTTGATGGGTGGTTTGTGTTGGGTACACTTCATTCAGTAAATGTTTCACACCCCTTCAGATCTTAGACATTCTCTGGAGTGACCCCATGCCTCAGGAAGGCTGCATAGTAAATACGGTGCGAGGTGGTGGCTGCTACTTTGGGCCTGATGTGACAAGGAAGATCCTTGAGAAATACAACTTGCAGTTCCTCATCCGCTCCCACGAGTGCAAGCAAGAAGGCTACGAGTTCTGTCACAACCGGAAGGTCGGTGAGGGGGATGGCATGAAGGATACTTGGGTTTCCATCCTGCTAGGGTGCGTGTTCTACGGTGGCTTCTTTCAGCTCTGCATTTCTTCCAATGGTGCTTTGTTAGGTACATACAAAATCGTTGAATGGCCTTATTGGGAGTTACTGAAGTGTGTTTCCAGCTGAGGTCTTAGGTCAGGACAGTCTGGAGCCACCTGCACTGTGAGGGGCATTTGATGTGCAGGCAGAGCATGTTCTTGTGCGTGGTAGCTGAGATTTCAACCCGTTTGTGCCATTGCCCCCACTTAACGCAGCTGTTTCTGAAGATGACATACAAAAGGTGTTACTAAGCTGCTGCAGCAGTTTTGCTCTTGGAAAATTCAGGGTCACTTCAGTGACTTCCACAGGGGCACTTTTGACTCCATTAACTGCAGCGGAGAGTGGAAGTTTGTCAGGAGAACACAGTGAAACCACGGAAGTTCAGTGTGTGGTCAGATCCACATTAGGAACTGCACTGCCCTCAAACTCCAACCTGTAAGGTTTCCAGGCCACCTTTACTCTTCCTTTTCCACATAAAACATGGTGCTTTCAGTCTGTTAACTCCAGATGGGATTGGTTGTGTTGTTTTCACAGATACACGTGTATGTTATAAGGGATGTATGTACTGATCTTAAATATCTCTTCTTTTTTTTTGGATTAGGTGCTGACCATATTTTCAGCCTCAAACTACTATGAGATTGGCAGCAACAGGGGAGCTTACGTGAAGCTGGGGCCAGACCTCGTCCCCCATTTTGTTCAGTACCAAGCCAACAAGGCAGCCCATACTCTCACTATGACCCAAAGGCAAGGCTTTCCTGTTGCGCTGTATTCACCAGGTCAAAATTCCACAAGGGAAAACCTGGGGAGCTTTGAGAATGTTTGACTTTGGAGCTGAACTTTCACAGCTTGATTTACTAAATAATAGCACTAGAGGAGGATTCCAGCTTTGTGCGGGCTCAAGGGTTGAGGAGGGAGCTGACAGGATCAGAAACTTACAGACTGCTGATTTTGCAGTTTCTCTTTTCAATGTCAAATTTAAGTTTTGACAGTTGCTGAGGTTCCCTTCTGCTTCACTTCACAAATCGATGCAGGGCTGTGCTTGTCCTGCGGTGCTTTGTCAGGAGCAGTTGGATGCAGCCGTAGCTGTGCAGAGCGGCTGTGAGAGGGGCTGGGCAATGCAGGGATAGGCCGGAGGATTGGGAGGGTGCAGCTTCTCTCATGCTTCTTGGCAAGCCCTTACTATGCTTCTCTCTTTTCTGCACCCTTTAGGATCAGCAGAGTAGAGGAGTCAGCCTTTCGAGCCCTGCGGGAAAAGCTGTTTGCTCACACTTCAGCCCTCATCAGCACGTTCAAGGCCTATGATACGGACAATACGGGTGAATTTGACCTGGAATATGTCTGTTGTGTCACTTGGGAAGGGCTGCTTGTCTCTAGATGCTCCTTCATCCCTGGAGTCTAAAATCGCAGGGAAGAGGGAAGTGGGGGATGTCCTTTGTAGCAGCTGTCTCTGTCAGAGCCTTGAGGAAGGAGCTGAGAGTTCATAATTATACATCTGCCAGGAGTGCTCTGCTGGTGCAGCTGCCAAGATGTGGTGTTGAGTTCTGTCCATTCGTGGGCTGGGGGACAAAGGGGACACAGTGGTTGGCTGCTTCTGGGTAGAACTACTTTCTTGCTTTCTTCTCCGGCAGACAAATTGTTGACAAAAGTCCAGTTCAGCTGTTCCAGCAGCTGCTAAACTGGAGGATTTGCCATGTTTCTGGGTCCCTGAGGAAATACTAGCGCAGCTGTGTAGGCCACAATCTGCAGGGTGACCCTGGCTGTAGGCCACAAATTTATAATGAAATATCCCAAGTTAGTGTCTTCCTGTTGTTCAGATGATTGCAGACTCATGGCCTGGACTTCTTGCAATGATCAAAAGCTCGCTGAGGCAGGGGGGAGCAGCAATGCACTTGTGCCTGATGCCTGTACAGCCATGTAGGGATTTTGCCTGTACCAAAGAGCTGAAGTGTGCCTTGGAGAAATAATGCTGTTGCTGTCACCAGCACAGCAGACTGTGTATGAGTACTGCTGTAGGCCTTTTATTTTGCCCTTATGTGCTTCCAGATGTCTGATTCTCGGAGGTCTTTTCCTTACAGGAAGGATCACGCTGAGCAACTGGGCAACAGCAGTGGAGTCAGTCTTGCACTTGGGATTGCCCTGGCGAATGCTGAGGCCACAGCTGGTGCGCAGCACTGCAGATGGCATGCTGGAATACAAGTCCTGGCTGGACGACTTGGCCATGGAGCGGCGGAGCCAAGAGGTAAGGACTCACCCCCTTCCATCAAAGCAGGTCACCAGATCCCTTCAGCATGTGGAACCAAGACAGGTACTACAGGGGAATTGATAGTTCTTCTATCATACTGAAGTCGATGGAAAAGCTTGCGTAAACTGAATCAGTCCAGAAACATTCAGTCCATTGCAGAAATAGATGATGCATGTGTGATCAAAACCTAGAGGTAGTTTTGGATGCAGGCTTTTGAGTAGGAAAACTATATTCCATTCTCTGAGTCACAGGTTCTCTAATTACACCCAGCAAAACCAACTCTGCAATGGTTAAAAAGCATAATCCAAGTCACTGTCTTCTCTGTTAGCCTAGAAAAGCCATGTTTGGAAGCAGTAAGTTGCTACAATGCAGAGTTGTGCAGAGGATCCAGTCATCACCAACCTGTTTCATAAGGCACACGTGATGCTAAGTGCACTGCTGGCAAACTCTTGAGAGCAATAAATGTTTTATGTGATGGTAGCAGCAACTGCTCAAAGCAAGCAGACGGCTGTCAGAAGGGCAGGAGCATGAGTTTGTTGTCTTTCAGCACATCCAGACAAGCTTGCTGGAAGTCATTTATCGAAACAGATCCAACCTGGAGACTATATTCAGGATCATTGACAGAGACCATTCAGGTAAGCAGGTCTGCAAGGGGTAAGCAGGTCACTGCATTGTATTCTGTTCTACTTTTGGGCCCCTTTTAGTATGTACAAAGGCATTTTTATTCAGTGGTTTAAGGCTTGGGTCTTTCTCCTCCCCCAAGAACTTCTGAAATATCACTGTGTGATTCCACTAACTTGATGCATTTTGAAGGGCTCTGTGCAGTCCAGGTAGAGAATTAGTAATTCTTTGTTCTGAAGTTTAGCAGAACAAAAACTGTAATGAGTGCACTGACAGTAATGCAGCATACTCAGGATCTTGAGTGTTACCTGTTTTCAAGCAGTCATCTCCACCAAATTACTTTCGGCAAGAGAAAATACAAGTCTTTGGCTTCTTTTGTTCTCCCAGATTGCATTATGTCTCTTTGCTGCTTTGTGTTTTAGTCAGTGTTCTCCATGATAGGAAATTTAGTTGTAGCATGTGAAATGTAGATGATGAGTGATTTCTTTCCTTCTTTTAAGGGTAATCAGGCAGCAGGGGTGGGATAAGAGTTCAAGCCTGAGCAGGGGTCCCTGCTTGCAGCAGTGCCTGTGGTGACCTTGTGCTGAGGTGGCTGTGGGCTTCCTTTCCTCTCCACAGGTCTCATCTCATTTGAGGAATTCCACCAAACCTGGAAGCTGTTCAGCTCCCACATGAACATTGAACTCACGGATGATGGCATCGACGACTTACTTCGCAGCATTGATTTCAATAAGGATGGAAACATTGACTTCAATGAGTTCCTAGAAGCCTTCCGCCTTGTCAAACAGTCACAGTAATGAGAACCTGGTGTGGGTTGCCACCTTCAATGCCTTGACTGCCCATGAAGCCAGGACTGCCCCCCACCTAACCGCAGAGCGTGCCTGCAAATGTGAAGTGGAGAAAGGCAAGGCAGATACCTGGAGCACTTCGTGATTGAAAACAGTCACTGCTATAGCCAACAACAGTGATCCATTCTGGAAAGGGAACAGGTAAAAGATAAGCTGCACTTCAAATCTGGCCATTTTTAAGGAGGAGCTGTTTCAAGTAGAGCTTCCTGCTCAAAGGGAAGGTGGAACTTAGCTTATCTTGTCAATACATGTGATGAAATGTTACAGGTCTACTTCCAGTGTAGTAAGATGAAAGTATTTATTGTATGTAGTGTTTTAAGCTGGTAGCAACTGCTAGAGCACAACTTCCCATTTAATAAACATTTTTTTCTACATTGCTGGTTCTGGGCTGTTTTGTTTCTTTACTTTTTTTTTTTTTTGTGGTTAATGAACAAAATTATTCTGTCTCTATCATAAGTCTCCTACTACAGAGAATAATGTATTTTTGTTTCAGTTATTCTGTGACTTTTGTAATAAGGAAAAAAAGGCAACTTGGGTGGGGAAGCTGTCTCTCCCATGCTTGTAGTAGCCCCTGCTCTGGAGAACTTAGTCTCAGGTAGGATCTATGGACTATGACCTTGTATTTTAGTTGAGGATAGAGGCTGCCAAGCAGCTCTGTGGCCTTGGGTTTGATACCTGTTACCTGCAGTGCCTGGAGGAGAGAGAATGCATTAACCTGGAGCTGCCAGTAGGTTCACTGGTTTGCTGATAGAGCTGAGCAAGATCCAACACCATTCACATGTTATTACAAAGTCAGACTGAATTTATTACTCTCCAGCAATTAAAAAAAGGCAGAAGACAACATCTAGAGATTGTGTTGTTATTTAAGAGGCAGCAAAGCTTTGTATAATTCACATAGGTCAAGTGATAAAAACAGAACCTTGCAGTCCAAAGGAAGGACAGAGATGGGAAACACCAACTTCCAGCAGCTTGCCCCAGTAAGCTACTGGTATTGCAGAGACCGATGTACGTACAGCAACATACAGATCTGTAATGATTTAAATCAGCTGTTTACATAAGGATGGCACCTGATTGTTTTGACAAACACATGGAAGTGAGCTAAGCTTTCTTCAGACCAAGTCACAGTTGGAACAATTTCATCAGTACTACATTTCCAGGACAATGCTGTTGTAAAAAAAAAAAAAAAAAAAAAGATAAAAATAGGAAACATGTACAACAGTACATAGAGTTTTATAGTAAAACAGTATCTGAACAGATTCAGTTGTCCTTCTTTTACTGAAGCATATACAGCTTTACAAAATATAAACCTTCCAAAGGTCAAGTTCAAAAGCTTAGGAGAGGCTTTGCTAATTCTAAAGGTAACAGCCAAAATACCACTGCTTTTAGAAAGTATGTATGTGGTTTATTTTTTTAATGTTTTTTTTTTTAGCCTTGCAAGGTAAACCATGAACTTGAGTAACACCTTCTGTGTAAGCCCAGCAGCATCCACTGCATCAACTGAAGACGACTCCTCTGGGAATGCTCTCATTCAGTTCCTGTTCTATAAGTTTGATGTCCTCCAAGTCGTCCTTTATGATGCTAATTAGGTGACTCAGGCCTTCTTGCTGCTGCTTCAGATGCTGCAGATACACAGTTTAAAAACCAGCATAAGCATAGTCCAACTTAATAGATTTAGGGTAGTATTTCTCAAAGGTACCATGGCCTTGGCTGATTGAAAAGCCTGGTATAATTTCTTAGACAGATCTCCCAAGTTCCCGTGTAGCTGGCTTAAGTTATGACGTTAACAGAGCATCCCTGGATTCTCCCCAGTAATACCTACTTGTTTGATTTCCCTTAAGAGGTCTGCATCTACATAATAACGCTCTTCAGCCCGCACAGCTCCAAAGTGGTTTTGCATCCTGATTTGGGACATGAGCTCATTCAGTCTGCCCTGGGAAGAGAGACAGGCTTAAAACAAACCCAACTCATTCACAGCTGTCAGAGCTCTAGCATGTACCACTCCTTGAGGCATCAGGGCTGGAAGCACTGCTGCTCATTCCATTTTAAACTTCTTTACTGGGGAGGGGGGAGGGAGAGGAAAAGACATGCAAAAGGCAAGCTGCTTCAATACTTCTCTGAACTCAAAAATACTTAAATACCTATCAGTGATGCAGCAAAGAGCATGATGCTACAATGCAGCAATACTGCTGGAATTCTCTTCTGAAGCTTTCCGCAACAACTCTACATGCATGGTTTGGAAAACTTGCATTCTTCTGTGAGGAAAAAACAAAGTTGTTAGCAAAGTGCTATTAACTACTCACCTTGAACTGCATAGGTGCGTTAAGTTCACACTGAATTGTATCTAACTGTACACGAAGTTGCTCTTCGTCTGCTTGGATGGCATAACCGCTTTTCCTTTGGATCTCCTGCTTTATTAACACCTACCAAAAGAAGTCTTTCAGGTTCATTAGAGATGACTTCACCCATCTTTCTAACCCAACCATGTCTTTTTGTCCTTCCACCAGCTTGTCTCTCATTAGATTTACTCTCTTTAGTCTGTTCCTCTGAGACTTTGGGGCAGTGCCACAGCTTCCAAGTGTACTTTTGAGTGTACTTCCCACAGCAGTATGACATGCTGTGCATTGGAGGCCTTCCCTGAGACCTCTGCTATTACTGAAATAACAGCATTTGATGAAATCAGAATTTCATTCTCAACATTGTCCATGTACAAAATTGCACAGGTCATCCTGCCCTCTCTCAGTTTGCCTTCTGGCACTACACTGTATGTCAGAATGAGCTTCTTAGACTAATCATGTTACCTGTAATGTTCTGTGAGATAGTGCCATCAGTTTCCTTTTGTACTGGGCAATTTTTGCCATAGTTGTCGTTTGGTTTTTCTGCAGCTCACTGATATCTTCTGATATTATCTGCAGAGGATGTGGAGTCAGTTAGAAACCATAAGAGTTTTTGATAACAGAACACATTAGTCCCGATTTGAAATGGGGAGTTTCAAAGATGCTTTCAGAAAGCTTTTGCTTTTTACGGCTCTGATTTCTATTTATTTTCATATGCAACTGGGATTTTCAGAAGGTATCAGAAAACTGGGCACCCGAATTAAGAGTCCACACCAGTGCAACTTAATTCAGCTAGTTTGAATTAGCCTGTAGCAACCCAGAAAGCTTGAACCTGAAAAAAAACCCAAGCCAAACTGCACTGCTCAGTTTTGGCCAAAAGATATAATGAAGAAATATATGAAGAAATAGAGTCACAGCCCCATGCACATGGTTCCAGTTTTCAAAATAGGCATAGGGGGAGGCTCTTTAATAGCCCATCTTTCATCAACAGCAAGCAGTCATGATAAGAAACCTTACATCTAATCGAGTTTGATGCTGTTTGGTCATTTGATCTTGGACCTTCAATCTTCTCAATAGTTCCTTGAAACCCACCAATGGCACAGGAATGAGTCTGTAAGAATACAAATATCTCTTACAACACATTTTCATATTAAATAGGTGATGTGAATTAATAATCGTGAATATAATCTACTATGAAGTTACAGATCTTGGTTTATTACAAAATAAGACATATCTTGTTTTGCTATGTTCTACAGTCCTCACTGTTTCTAACAACCCATTCCTTTTTCATAAAGAAATCAGCCTAAGTTATCTGTAATCACTGGAGGGTACAAGGGTACATCACTTTCAGCTGCAGGATTAAAGAGAAAAAAATATAATGGCTGCAAAAACTAAGTCACAATAACCAGTTCATATAATGGAGGACACAACAACTGGAAGTAATCCAAGTAAGGCTCTTGATCCTGACAACCCTTAAGCACCTAAGCGGGTAAAGGGGTTAGACTGGCACTTCTAGTAATCCTCACTGCTTCAAAAGAGATCAGCACTTGACAAAGTTATTCTCTAATTAGTTTCTTACAAGTTACCTGAACGGTACTAAACAATATTGTATATTTTTCACCTTTCTGTAATACTGATACAGACTATTAGACTTACTTGTCAGGGTCAGGATTGTCAACTTTGGCTTGTTCCCATATAATAGGATCAACACCTTAAAAAAACAGACAAGTTTTTAGCGTGGATAGATCTGAACAGATATCATATCTTACAGCTGTTACAAACCTTCTCAACTATGCTAACCTGAATGACTGTTATACAAATTAAGGTTCATTAAGTAAGTCTTGGTCGCAGACCGTGGCACTAAGTTCAGTCCAAAAGGCTGTCAATCACATCTACTGGTTTGAAAGCATAGGAAAGGAACAACCCACAGGTAATCAAATGGGTCAATCCGTATGTCAAGGTGAAAAGTTCCTGCTGATCCCACTGTATGCTACACCTGGGTCATCTTTCCTCTTCAGGTTGGTTATTGCATAAAATGAAATACCAAAAAATCAGTAATTAAGTGATCAAAGTACCAAACCAGTGGGAAAAGTAATCCTAGTAAGAATTATCATGGTTCCTAACAGGATTTATTTACGGATTTTATCTGTTGACAGAAGAGTTGTTTGCTTTGCCATTAACTGCTTCCCTGGGTAATTACATAAAGAAAAAGCAGTTTAACTGTGCATGTGCATTAGCATCATGATACAAGATATTACTCTCCAAACCTCAGTGCAAATCAGATCCATGTATGAAATGCACATACGTAGGCATGCTAGTTAAAAACAAACACAGAGATAGGGAAGCAACTGACTTTCTGACCAGAAAGACACGCCAAAAAGAAAAACAGAAATGATGGTAATTTAACAATTTCAGGTCATCTTCAAGGAGACCAGAACAGTCAGCTACTACAACATTCTTCGCTGTACCACGCTCTAGGTCATTCCTTGTAAGAGCTCTTGCCTTTATACCAAAACTCTTGGGGTGTGCCTGCTTCTCCTGAGCTCAGCACTAACACCTCTCCTTGCCCACCCTGCTGCTTGTAAGCCTACAACCTCAGCTTCCCTCTCAGTCATGGACTAACAAGATGTGCCCAACCATCATTACACAGGCCCCATGATACACCTCCAACATTAAACAGCTAACTTGCTTGTGCACAGAGCAGTTACTACCCCGCACTGCAGCAGCTGGGAAACAGTACAGCTTGTCTCTGTCCCGCAGTAGTAGGCCCAGTTCTTTTTGCCATCCAGATGCTATAACCTTTGCAGTGCTTTTAAACACTATGGTCTTACTGAACATGCTCCATACTGGCTGCTGGAAACCACAGGCTGCTTTTCCTGACCCCCTGCAGGGAATTCCCTTCAAGTATTACATGGGATACTGTACAGACACAGCATTAGCCACAATTATCCTCTGAAATTGCACAAATGGCACTTGCCTACTCTAAAACAAAGCTATGCACTACCTTTAGCCACATATATAGGGTAAGTGACCCCACTGAA